AACCCTAAGTGATAAGCACATCTTGTGACGAGTGTACATAAAAAAATTTAAAATTGAGACTTCTAGCATATTTTATATGTGACTTAGAATCATTTTTTAATGAATGAAAAATATAGTTGTTTGCATTACAATGATCATTTATTACAACCACTTAGATTATATTATAATGCTTATAATATTTATATTGCAAATAGATTCATATTCTACTCTTTACAATCTTAGACCGGATTTAAGGTAACAAGTGGTTATACGAGTTTATGAATCTTGTATGAGCTCATCTTCAATGTTGTGCTTATCATTTATGGGTCCTATTTTTCATTTTTTTTGTAGTTTTGGCATAAAATCTAGGGGTAGACGACCTCCCTTCTTAAACTAAATCCATTTTGATCCCGCCCTAAAATCTTTAATAATATTCTCTATCATAATTTGTTTAGATGATAACCTTCCAAAACAAAGGTTAGAATAGACCAACCTTACAAAAATAGTTTGTGTTTTAGCGAGTCCACCCTAATGGATAAGATTTAGCTTTTCTAAAGTTTAGGCAAAACTTGTCTAATCCCGAAGTTTTTTAAGTCTCCGAACTATCTATGTAATCCAACCTCTTACCTTATGCACTCGGAGGTATGGAAAGGTCATTCCATAATTTTTTATGTATAGAGTGAGTTCTAGTTTAAATGAGAGTCCGAGATAAGCATTAGTAGACTTTCATCATACTTGCCTTCGAATCTCTCTATCTAAATCTTAATAGGGTTTTAGCTCGAGTCTAGAGCTTTTGTAGGATTTTCTCGTGGTGTGCACAACAATAAAGAAGACATCCAACCTAGTTCACATAAATATGAGCAAAAATTAAAGAAAAATAAATTGCAACAATTAAAAGGGTCAAAATATGGATAATAAATAACCGACTTGGAAAATAATTAACTTGATAAAATAAATAAAGAATGTAAATTGAAACAAGACTAAACTTATGACCTAATTCTAAATCTCTAGTGGAGTAGTCATTCCGTCACTATTCGACTTTTCTAAAACTCCTAAAAATTTAAGAGTTATTTGAAAATTTTGTTTGTTTTGGAGGATGTGAGTTATTTATTAATTTTGAAGTCACCACCTAGTATTTAAAGGAACTAGAAACCTAAAATGGGTACCGATGCAAAGATTCTAAAGTAAGAAGTTGGTTATGCATTTGAGAATATATCAATCACCCAAAAACACCATTTCCTAAGAAAGGTACGATGTCTAGCTTAATCCTAAAATTTATCTCTTAAAATTTTCTATTTTTGCCAAAATTAATCCTATTCAAAATTTCAAGTTTTATTTCCTATGTCAAATTCGAATGAAGTTTTTCATTTTTTGCATCATATTGAATCAATCATCGGACCCCTTCATCGAGCGTCACGCCGGTTCAATATCGATTCAATTTAAGTCTTGACATAACCGAGTATGTCGGAGAATGACCTAATTGCTAAAATGATTGATTTGGCCTAACATTAGTCCTTATTGGATATAAGACTTTGTTAATTTTCTCTTAGTGTTTTCTATTTTTTTTCCTTTCTATTTTTTTCTAATCTTTTCCTTAACATTTCTTCTTCTTCTTCTTTTTTGTATTTTTTGTCTGTTGGTGGAGAATTATCATCAATCCCTAAAAATTAGGAGACTCAATAATTCATCCATTTATCAATTACCTAATTTAATTTATTGAAATAAATCCTAAAAAATTCAACAAAATTCAAAACATTAAATTTAAACTCGAAAAAAAATAAAAATGCATAAATAAAAAAGATTCGAGGTCAATTTATCTAAACAAGGACTAAAATTAAAGCCTTAGGCCTTTTTTTAGGTTAGTGGGCCATTTGGGCCTAGTGAGCTAGCTTGTTGGAATCTTTTTCTCTTCTTCCTATTTTTTTCTTTTCTACCCCTCTCTTTCTCCGACCTAATTTTTCTCTTTTTCCTTTCCTTTCCCTCTCATTTCTTTCTTTCTCCTTTTTTGTTCTTTTTTCTCTCTGAGAAGCACAAGAAACAAGTCCGGAACCAAGGCTTACCGCAAAACTAACCGGTGCATTCCTAAACCTAACTTTATTGGCAAATTTGGAATTCCAAACTCAAACAAATAGGGGAATGAATAATGGGACTAACAAGAAACAAAAATGAAACTAAAAATTTAACCTAGGTTGCCCAAAAGGGATGAATATTGCTTTGCAAGTTTGATTGATGATGATGGGGTTTTAGTGTGGTTTCCTGGAAGCTAAGGAGTTTGTTGTTGGTGTTAAACAACTGGAAAAACCACTTAAAGAACTAGGTTTCTAATGTTCTTGAAATCCAAAAATTCAAAATGAAGAACCCGTAAATTATAAACCCCGAATCCTACTTTTTCTCGTGTCCGATCTCTTCTTCAATCCTCTATGAACCTAGAATCTCTCTCACAAAACTGAAAATCCTCCCAAAAATCATCTCTCTAAACCCAAGTTGTTCTTTAAAGAACCTAGAAATTCTAAGTAATAGAGGCTTTCCCGAAATTCTTTTGCTGATTTTTTTCTCCCATATTAGATCTTCATCTCTTAATCTCATCCCTTCCCTTTTAATAAGTATAGGACACTCTACATTGTCTCTTTTTTCTCTTTATTTTGCATCCTCTTTTGTGTATTGTCCTTACAAGGTCGGGAGTGAAGGAAATTAAAGAATGCTAATGACAAGTTTTGTTATCTTGTGTTTTGGTTGTAGGTGTTTTAGAGATAACGTTGATGCATGAGATGTGTACGTGGATAAGGATGCCAACAAGGTTGACGTACGAGATGTGAATGCCACAACTTTTGAGTTATTCATAATTAAAACCTTTAATAAAAACCCAAAATTATTTTTATTTTTTTTCCTTTTTGTATTTTTTTTCATCTTCTCTTTTTCAATTTTTTTGTACTTATTTTTTCTCTTTTTTTTTCATTTCCATTTTTTGTGATAGAATGATAAATTAAAACACAATTAAAAACCGATGATAAAGCAAAACTCATAACAAAAAAAAATTCATGGACACCTACATTATATAATTAAAATAGAAAATAAAAGATAAAATAAAAGAAATTTTTAAAATAATTATGGTGGTCTAAAATTGGATTATGACATTTGTCTTCATTTATAAGAAAAAGGGAGAAAAAAACTCCTTAAATCTCAAACATAAATCGATCCAAAGTATATCAATATTTTCCGTAAAAAAGAGAAATACATTAAATGAAAGTTTCTTTGTTTTTTATTAGTTCATGTAGTATTTCTCAACGGAAAAAAAGGTGATTTTTTTGTCTTGGTTCGTCCTAAATAATATTCTGTTAGTTTTTCTTCTTCTTTTTTTCTTTCTCTTTGTTTTTTTATAACTTATAACCACATTTCTTGTTTTTTTTTTCCTTGTCATTCTTATACAAGTTCACATATTAATTTACATTTCTTGAAAATACTTAATTTCTTTATTCGATTTTTTTTTCATTTTGGTATCAAAACCGATAGAAATTTTATTGAGAAAATAACTTGATACAAACTAAAAGTACATTGATTTTTGTATCCTCCATTAGCATAACTAGTATTCTAGTAAGGGAAAACAAAAACAACCATACATTTATCAATGTATCTATTGTAAATTATCATACGACGGAATTGTCATACTAAAATCAACTTGTCATATAATTTGAATTAAAAATACGAGAAAGTCTGTGTCTTAGTGCTAACTTCTATTAAAACTTCACTAAACATGTAAACTTGCAACTTGTAATTGCTTTCTCGACTTTTTCCTCATGTTTGATGTTTAATTTAAGTCTTGGTGGAATAATATGTTGTTCTTCCAAGTGAAACATCTAACCAAATCTTTTGAAAACTATAATAAATGATTTGAAAAAAGTAATAATATTTAAATACAATAATACTTGAAAAAAGAAAGGAAGCCATAGCATCAAATACAATTTTTAGCAATGGCTTCCAAAAAAAACCCCTAGAAAATCCTATATTTATGTAAGGTTAACAATGATAAAGGTAATAACAAAGAGAAAGAAAGAAGAAGAAAAATTAAGTGTAAACTTTAAGGAGAAAAAAAAAACAAATAGAGAATTATTAGGATAAAAGAAAAAAATAAAGAATATGTGTGAGCTAAAAAAAGATAAATATATTACTTTATATTGAATTTTTAATGGAAAATTCAATGAGAAAACAAGATCAATATATTATTTTAGATTAATTTTTTATTGAAAAATTCAAGATGAAAACAAGAAAGGGTTTATCCCATAATTGGTCCATGTACGAGTTCTAATTTTTTTTAATTGAAATTCTCTATTATTTTTTACTTTGATTGAAGCCTTCTACTCTTACAAATTTATTGATTCGGACCATTTATTAACTCGTTCATCCGACATGACACGTCAAAATTAATGATAACCAATCACGAATGAACTATGGAATAGTGGGCGTCAATTCTAACATTATATGTTCTAAATTAAAAAAAAAAAAAAAGAGTTAAAAAGATTTATATTATTAAACTAATATTTTAGTATTTAAAAATAATTAGAAAAGATGACATCGCCCCATCCCATTACACTTGCCTAACTCATTTTTTTCCATTATGTCAAAACCAATTCTCTTGTTGTCTCTCCTTGTGAAAGCATAAATCCCAAAATCTTAAAACTAATTTTCTTCCTAAATAGAATAAAATTAGTCTATTATGTCTAAACCTCCATCCTTATCCACAAATTAGGCAATTAGATTTAGAGACCATTTTTGTGGGATTCAATGGTGGCTAGGTAGAGGGCCTAGGTGGTTGTTGGTGAAGGTTCGTGTTTTAGTTGGTGGCGACTGAAGTTTCCAAGGGTCTCCAGTTGAGAGAGGTTGTTGGGTGGTTGGAAGAGTGGATCAGTGGGGAGGAGTAGTGGCTGGGTGGCTATGGCAAAGGCTTGGTGAGGTGTATGGCTAACGTGGAGGAGTTGTGGCATTAAGGTGCGAGGTTGTGGTGGTCGAAAGTTTCAGCAGTGAAGATGGTTGATTTTTTCTACAATTTCCTCCATCAGTGGCCTCTCAATATTAATGTCAACAAGTATGAATACATGGTGTTAGTGGACATGCTCAAGACTAGTCACTCGGAGCTTGACAAAAAGATCGGTGGTGGGATCCAAGCTTTCCAAGTTTGGTTTCTTCCAGTGTTTAAGACTCGGTGCTTCTTCTTAATTAAAGATGATGACTCCGTTGATGATAAAATGGAAAAAAATAAGTTAGGCAAGTGTAATTGGGTGGGGGCAATGGAGTGTTTTTCAATTATTTTTAAATACTTAATATTAATTTAATAATAAAAACCTTTTTAACTTTTTTTAAAAATTTTTTTTGAATATATATTGTTAGAGCTGGGATCTACTATGCTACGTGTTTATCTATGATTGATTATTGTTGATTTTAACGTGCTATATCGGATAAATAATTAACAAAAGGTATGAATTAATAAATTTGTAAGATATAATTTTTTTGATAAGCAGAAAAAAATATAAAGGAGATATAATTTTCTCTCGCATGCTGTGGGAAATCGTAAGATAGTTTCTTTGTATTCATAAAGAAAAAAGATACCTCCATTGCATGACTTATATATATATGAGTAATGATCCAATAACATCAGCTAAACTCACTCTAACTAAAAAATATTATAGTATCTATTCAAGAAAAATTCTTAATATGGCGCTTCATTTCAATTTCATCCAATTTACCATTAATTTTTGATAGAATGTCAGTAGAAAAAGACACGTTCTTGTCCTGTATAAAGCCACGTGATAAGAATTAACGCTAAATTGGATAAAATTTTGAATTAACACTTCGTTGAGACTCAATTGAAAGTTTTGGGTGCCACGAAAGAACCCATTTCATTCCATCTCTATCACTCGCATACGGTAGCCTCAACCATAGTCAATCATCAATCATGCAGTAACCGAGCACATATCCCCACATATAAAGATAAAGAGTAATTCATGCTTTTGCCACCTTTTCTTTCCCCAGTCCTTTTCCTATTTAAGGCAGATACTCCAAAAAATTACTTGGCTAGATTCCAAAATTTCCGTGATAAGATGCACACTTGTTTTATCAATGCAAGTAACATATCCGTGTCCAATTTTTATTGGCATCATCCGAAGCATAAAAATGAGAGTGACAATTCCTGAAAGCAACATAAACTTTCCAATTTTCTTCCATGTGCCAATACTTTTTCGAAAAGCCTAAATGAATCTATTAACGTACAAATACCATGAATGTTTGAAATGCAAAACGGCAAATGATTAGCATGTTATATCATAAATTCATTACTATTGTATCATGACCACTACAGCCATGATCTCTGTTTTTTTTTTTTTTTTTTTTTGGCCCCATCAGGAAGATAACTAGCTTACATTTCTCATAAGTACCATAGCTAGTGAGTGATTTTAGCATCATAATGCACAGTAAATTGCTGATGACTCTCTTGTGTATGCGCTTGTTATTGTTGTAATGGGTTTCAAACCATATAATGAAAGCTAGAACTTACTCATTTCCTAACCCCGTTGGTAAGTTTGAGATCTCCAGGAAAACATTCCAAGGTTTAACCCCTATGTATGTATTCTTGAAGACTGCATATCTAAATCATTATGATCGACAAAAATTAAGGCGGGGATTAATTCTAACATTTTTAGTACTTAAAATGATCTGGATGATCAGATGTTGAAGTGTATAGCTAGTAATTGTTTCCAGATTCGATAAAAATGCTACCGATGTACGCAACCGTTTAAAAGTACATTCCCAAGATTGGTGCTACAGTGAGCTGTAGTAAAGGACAATATGGTGGGTCTTCGTCTTTGTGCAAATTATCAAAGAATTTTGAAAGTTTAAACAATGATTGTTTTACTTTTGTTCTACACGGTGTTGGAATCGTATGGATCACCTTTATAATCCTGAATAGTAGTAGTGGCGGTGGTGGTAATGTTGAGCTTTGATCTTTTAGACATACGGTGTTTGAACCGTATGGAACAGTTTTTCTCCTCTCTCTAATTATTTCGTTTTGTGATTTATTCTTCTCTTATTCATCACGTGGAAGAGTAGTTCAAAAAAAAAAAAAAATCAATTTTTAATATTTTTGTTTTAGTATATTAATTTTTTTAAAAAATACTAATCAAATTTTTTGTTTAATTTTTCATCTAGTAATGATATGGTAATTGATAAAAAAACCTAAGTGATTATATTACTTTTTTTCTCCTTCCAAATTATTTTTATTGTTTAATTATTAATTAAAAATAAAGAAAAAAAACAGTTGTTTTGCTATCCTTTTTTTATTATTATTAAGTTGCTTTGTTTTCTTTTCTTTTTTAATTAATAATTAAGTAATAATAATAATATGGGAAGAGAAAAAAACAACATAGTCATTTAATTTTTTCTATTAACTGCCATATCATCATTACAAGGAAAATTAGACAAAAAAACTTTATTAACATTTTTTAAAAAAATTGATATATTGAATCGAAAAAAAGTAAAAATCGATATACTCTATTAAGAAAAGATTCAAAGTTAATGTACCTATTATCAAGTTTTTTCAAAAAAAAAAAAAAAAAACACATACACATGCACAGGTGAAAAACAAAAAATATAAGTCAGTAGATTAATGCAGGATTCATCCGTAACTCCTCCATTATCACGTGATTGGATGGTTCACAGTTTTATTTTATTTTTGGAAATAGCATTATTCTTTGAGATACAGCCTTTTTTTCTTTTTTTTATCAATCAAAGTATCCATTTATAGAAACTGAATTTTAGAGGGTAAATTATAAATTAATCCTTTTAGTTTTGTGGAACAAATTAATTAGTTCTTTTTGTTTAAAAAAAAACTAATTATTTACTCATTTGACTAGTTTTGCTCAAATTTAATTTAATATTAATTTATTATAAAAATATCTTATTTTCTCATCAATATTTTATAACATCTTTACAGCCTCTAATTAAATTGAATATAAAAGAATACTTAACGTGGAAAGTAACTTATAGTTTAAGGCTTTTAAATAAATGTTTACTTGAATTTTAAATAAATGTTTAATAATATAATTTGTTAGTACTGCAAGAAATACCATTTTTTATTTTATTTTTTACTCTAAAACTAGGGTTTTCTTATGACTTTTGACGTTGATACAGATTATAGCCTTCACGTATAATAGGTAATATTCTTGTAGTACTAACAAATTGAAAATCAGAAAAGAAAAAGACAAAATAAAGTACGTTGTCGTTGCTCTCAAAAAATTTCCCTCTATATCGCTGAGGAAATACAATGATGAAAGTAATGTGTTTTTAGTCACTCAATTAAATATTTTGAATTGTTGAATTTAACTAGGGCTGGCACTATCAAAAGCCACTCCATCAAAGCTTTCTGAAAGAAAAAAAAAAAAGACTCAAACAATCAATCATGGAGAGACACTAGCTAGTTTACTTTCCCATTTGGACTTCATGAGTAAATATTACGCTAAAACTAGAAGCGAACATTAACTTTCTCACTGCCGGATTTAAGAAAAAATCAAATGTAAAAGCCATGATATGGTTTTAAAGTTTAAAGTTTTAATGAAATAAAATAATAATAATAATAAGATTTTCCTTCTTCATCATGTTTTTATTCAAAACAAACTAGTTCTTTTACCCGCAATGAGATAAAATATATTATATATTATATCGTTGAGGAAAATCATTTCGAGTTCGATAGTCTATTTTATGACGTGAATTTATAAAAATATATGAAATTAAAGGTTAAAAAATTATTTATAATTTTTTAATAAAAAATTTATATTTAACTATTTCTTATTTGTGTTTTTCATAACTTTTCCTTTAGAAAAATGATTTATCCTTGTTAGTCCATGGATTATTAACTAAAAAAAAATTAAATAAAATTTTTTAAAAAAGTTTTAGTATTTCAAAAGATTGTGTCAAAAACATAAATAACAATTATTAAAAGCTTATATAGAATTGAACAAATAGTTTTTTATTTATTTAATATTGATGAGAATATCGGTTTTTGAAAAAATGTGAATTTAATTTTTATATATTTATTTACAAAAGAATGAATAATATTAAAATAAAAAACTATATTAATTTGAATCATTGAGTGGTTAAGCCAAAACATTATTTTAATTATTTAATTTAAAATAAGTTAATTTTAAAATATTAAAAAATAAATAAATAAATAGTAAATACTTAGTGTAGGAGTATTTGCATAGTTAATTTATAAAAAAACAACGATTCAATATTTTTTTATACATCATAACTATACCAAGCTGAGTTCATAATTTTCAATCTAAAACAAAAAATACTATAAAAAAAAGTTAACTTGTAAGGAATTTATTGACTAAATTTGAAGTTAATAGAGTAAAATAAAAATTATTACAGATTTGATTTCGATTAATTTTGATTATATAAACAAGACACAAATTAATAAAACATGTAAATTCTTTTTCTTTTTTTTCCTCCTTATATATATATATATATATATATATATATATATTTATTTATATGCTATGCATAGCTAGTCCTTAAATACAGGCCTTAGGCGGAGAGCAACCATCTTCTTTTTATTTTTCACATTTGACTTTCAACTATTAATTAATTAATTAGAGTTTTTTCTATAAAAAAAACCAAGAAAATTATTTGAAATACACTTTTAATCTAAAAATATATTTTAGATAAATTATATATATTAATCATGCCACTATAATTTAAAAGTTATCTAAATTTATTTTTCAAAAGAAAAAATAATCATGTTCGAAAAATTTATTCCAAAATCTATACATATAGAAAAATAAATCAAAATTGTAAATAAATATAATTTTAAATTAATTCGATGAGAATTTTTTTAAAAAAATGAAAAGTTAAAGTAGTAAATTTTAAATAATAAAAATAATTAACAAAAAATACTAAAACAAAATGGGAACAAATCAGAATATAGTCAAAGTTTGAAATTGAAAAAAGAGAGAATTTAAAAAAATGAAAAATTAATGTAATAAATTTTAAATAATAAAAAAAATGAGAAAAAATTATTTGAAAAAAATATTTAATCTAAAAATATATTTCAAACAAATATATATATATATATATATATATATATATATATATATATATATATATATATATATATATATATATATATATATATATATATATATATATATATATATATATCATGCCACTATAATTTAAAAATTATCTAAATCTATTTTTCAAAAGAAAAAATAATCATGTTCTAAACAATTATTCTAAAATCCATAAATATAGAAAAATAAATTAAAACTATCAACAAATATAATTTTAAATTAATTGGATGAGAATTTTAAAAAAAATTAAAGTAGTAAATTTTAAATAATAAAAATAATTAATAAAAAAATACTAAAACAAAATGGGACCAAATCATAATATAATTAAAGTTTGAAATTGAAAAAAAAAAGAATTAAAAAAAAACGACAAATTAAAGTAGTAAATTTTAAATAATAAAAATAATTAAAAAATTAAAGTTTGAAAAAAGAATTTAAAAAATAAAAAATTAAAGTTGTAAATTTTAAATAATGAAAATAGTTAATAAAAAATACTAAAATAAAATAGAATCAAATCACAATACAATTAAAGTTTAACATTGAAAAAGAAAAGTATAGAAAAATTGAGGACCAAAGTGTTAAAAAAATGACATAAATAGTGAAAGGAATAGTGATTTGTGAGTGTGTAAATAATGATTTGTGAGTGTATGAATAGTGTTTTAAATAGTAAAATAAATAATAAAACCATATTTTACTTTAGTTTGTTTTATAATTTTAACGTAACGGAGAACAAAGGAAAGCTGAAAAACATGTTAATACAAGTTGAAGGAGAAATAGATTCTTGATAGTGATTGAGGAGGAATAAATAAGCAAACATAATTAAAGCAAATTAAATATGAATAATATGATAATCTTTTCCTTATATGAACTTAATTAAGGTTTACATAAATAGATCCTCATATATATATATATGGCTACTCTTTGTATCGCCTGGATATTAACTATAAAATATTAGCAAAATTATAATAATTTATATAATTATTTGAAAATAGAAAAATAACTATTTTAATTAGAAATTATCAAACTTTATATAAATTATTGAAATTTCGAATATCAAATATTTAATGTAATTCAATTAATATTTGAATTTGTTCTTTTTATAGAATTAAAACAATTTATTAATAAAAGATATTAAATATATAGTTGAATTATATACACACGACTGATAAAAAACTATATGTACACTTGCCTCATATAACTTTCTACGTTCTCAAGAAAATAAAGAAATGATAAATAATAATAATAATAAAGAAAGAAATCTCAATATCCCTTGCTGCCTTCACCCTCTTTTTT